GAGTCCATTCGGTGCCTATTTCTCAATAATGAATGATCAATTGACATGGCCGATTCGGTGAGATTGAGAAATAGAAATAAGCTTTTCCGTTTGATAGTACTTGATAGAAAACGGCCTACGAGTAAACAAGTCCATCCTTTTTCAAGATATTTAGTCAATTTCTACCGTAATCCTTTTCGATTTCACAAAATTAATCAAAAGAAGCTCACAATAAGAAATCTAACCAAGAATCACAATATAAAAGCTAACCAATTTCATTTGAAATATGACCAATTGATCGGAAAAACTACACTTCAACTTTAGATTACTTGCCACAGCCGAGAGCATCAACCGACTTATAATGTCTTTCTTTGAAGCTGGTGCCTGCATTTGCTATTATCTTCTTCCAAATCAGTAACTTGATGTGTTTAACTTGTTTAAGTCAACTTGACTTTCAGTTGGGCACACTAAAGGAGCATTCCGTCCTAAAGGCGAGCACTAAAGGCCTCCTCAACGTTCCTAACGCTTTGCAACTTTACAGGGTGCAACAATAATTGTCGCCACGCGCGTTCATGAACAATAACTCGTTGATTTAAGCTTCATTTCTGGTTTTCTTTTATTTGGAATATAATCAAAACTTTTTTCATATAAAATGTGTTGTTTTTTAAAAACTTTGGAAAATCCCCATCGACAATCGAATTGCACAAGCGAGGAGTCGGCACCGGAGATTCATAAGCGTCTTAAAGTCAACAGAAGTGTCATTTTCCGCAGTATTCAAGGCTACGAAGCTACGGGAACAATTGCTGATGCACCAAGAAGCGGTAGACGCAAAGACAAAGGCAAAGACAAACATCAAGCAAGTGAGGGACCCAATTTGGAAGAAGCCAAACCAGTCGATAAGGCAAACGACAAAGAAGATGACGATTTCAAGAACTTCACTACCTCGGATCGTCAAAAATAAGCTCAAACTTACTGCTTACATGAAAAACAAGGCTCAACTTCTTTCGAATGCCGCTAAAAACAATCGAAAATTGAGATCAGATGCAGAGTTCTGCCAAAATAACTTCCCGGACCTGATTTCTTTTTCTGAGTGGCCACCTAGCTCTCCCAATGGATTTCTCAGTTTGTTCGATTCTAGAAGCCAAAGCTTGTTCAAAGCCCCACAAAACATCGAAAGCTCGAAGAAATCACTGTTGAAAGCGTGGGAAGAGCTCGATCCAGCCTATTTTGTCGCCACCGTTGCCGCCTTCCCAAAACGTCTGCGAGCCTGCTCAAATGCTAATGGTGGCCAATTCGAATTTGATAGTTCATTTATAATTGTTAATGTACAATGAATGTTATCAGTTAAAAATTTTTCTTTTTTTGCTTTGCCTTAAAATCAGACCTTTATCTTGTTGCGACAATTATGGCGCACCCTGTAGTTAAGCGACAGAACACTAAACTCTAGCCCAGAGCTTGATGGTTCGATCCCTATCCTAAGATCCTTCGATCCCTATCCCAGTTTTCTTGGGTGAGACCTTAGGTTTAAGCTTTCTTGTCCAAATAAAACGGACAAAACAAGCCAACAGAGTTTAGAAGATTTACAATAAGTATCCTAAAATGTTTCTCGGCTTTTCCATCTCTTCTCTGAGTTGTTTCATTTTAGCCAATTTTTTTAGTTGCCCTTCTTCTCTTGTCTATTGGCTACTCTTCTTTGAACACCAGACAATCAACATAATTAATGTGACCCTTTTCTGTCAACTATTCATATCAATAAGGTTTGGCTTTTGGATATGTTCAATAAAATATCAGAAGTTCCTCTTTTCAGCCGTTACTTTGCTCTTTCATTTGATGGTCTTTATTTCTATAAAATCAAGAAATGGCCGATTCTTCATTTGTCTCTCCCCTATCTCATCACTGCAATATCTTGTTTTTTGATTAATTATTTCATAAATAATTCAATTATCTACCGAATTGGAGAATTTCTCGGTGTACTACCGATTGCAATGTGCGCATTGGACTTTTTCACATATAGAAAGTTGAAAAAGGTGAGTTGGGGTTTGTTTGGGTAATTGTTTGGGTATTTTCTTAGTAGTTGGCCATTCAATTCTCGATTACTCATTCGTTAAACACATTCAAAACGAAACTTGTCTATCTTTCGTTGTTGTTTTTTTGTTTCTTTGTCTGATCTATTAGACGATAGGGACCAATTTCAAACTAAAGCACTTTTTATGAAAAACTGATACTCGATCTAGAATCCCCACCCTAGAAAACCACAGGTTTTGCTCTCATATAAACGAAAAATAGAAAAAATACAATGTATTGCTAAACTGTGTTAAGCTAAAGCCTTCCAACAAATGATATCTAGATTGAAAAAGATAGGGATAAAAAGAAATGATGATAGACAAACCTTTTATACTTTTTAAGTTACTCTTTTCCCTTTTATTTATGCGAAACTATTGGGTTGGTGAATTGAAAGCTGCGGGCTATTGTCATATGTGACCGTTTGAGCACTTTCTTCAAAAGAAACCCATTTTGGCGTCAATGGAAAAGTTGTAGAGAATCGAAAATCAAGCTTATATCCAAATTTTCAGAACGATTCAAAAACTGGTTTTCAAGAAATGCGAAATTTACGAATTTTCACAAAACTTGCATTTTAAGCGAAACTACTGAGTGTATCTTTTTGGAAATTTGGCTATAAGCCTAATTTTTGATTCTCTACAACTTTTCTATTGACACCAAAATGGGTTTCTTTTGAAGAAAGTGCTCATCTGATCATCTCCAGGACATCTCCAGTCCTCCATTTTTGAGTCTCACACTTGTCTCACACACAAACCAAAATCCTACTACGGAAGAGGAATCCGCAAATTACCTGTAAAATGGGCAGAAGTCGTCAATAATAATGGAAATTATTTGGAATGAATTGATGGTTTTATGTTGAATAAATTTTAGTTCAAAGTCCCGCGGTTTTCAGTCATCAACCCAATACAATGTATTGCTAAACTGTGTTAAACTAAAGCCATCCAACAAATGATCTCTAGACTGAAAAAGATAGGGATATAAAGAAATGATGATTGACGAGCCTTTTATACTTTTTAAATTACTCTTTTTTTACTTTTTATTTATGCGAAACTAATATTGTAACAATCTATTAGAATTTTCAGTTAAAAACCAAAGGAAAAGTTTCACAAGCCGAACAATTGCTGATGATCCAAGTGAGAAGATTTTATTTGATCGATCTAATTTCACTCTAGATGCTTGTTAACTCATTGATGGTTTTATTCAGCAATACCATTATGCTAATTGTCGAAATTGCTGTTGGTTTTATCACAAGAGACAAAACTATTGCTGCCATTTTTGTACTTTTATATAAGACTTTAACACAAATCTATGCATTTATTAGCAGGTGAGTCGATTTTTGTAAAACCTTGTTCATTTGCAACACAAAAGATTCAATTTAGCCTGCTAGCTATTGCATTTTTGAGGAAACCGAAAGTGAACGGGGAAATCAGTGGAAAGACGGCAAGGATAAAGTTTGTCTTGAGGAAAAAAAGCTAATAATAGGTTTTTCAAGACGTCGAAAAGTTAACTATGTTGAAAACATCACTCAAATTCCAATCATTTAAAAAAATCAAATGTTTCTATGACGTTCTTTGCCTCAACAGTTCATTTTAGCTAAAACGATGTGGAAAAGTCTCGAGCAGACGCTTTGCTAATGTTAAAGATAAAGATTTCCATTTAAAATAATAATTAGACATTTTCCAGTTGCTTACCAGTTCTCTCTTCACTCTAACCAACAGGATTTTCTCCTATTTGATCAGCATTTTCATTAATTTCTTCTTTTGGGTCAATATCTTGTACCTTTTCGATGAAGTGCTTTATTTTAAACAATTTTTTCTCATTGACCACTGGCTAGGTAAAAAGTTGAACAAATCTCGTAATAAGTATAATAAGTGTAATAAGCGTATTTTCTCTAATAGTAGTGCACCCTGAGCATCGCCTAAATTCCTCGAAATCTCGAGAACCGCTTATCAGAACCTATCGATGTGGGGTCGGAAAATGTAGCTGACGATGAGATCTAGTTGGGGATTAGAGTGTTGAGCTTCTGCAAAAGCTTGGAAACCGTAAAATAGTCATCAACTCGGCTCGCTGGGGTGATACGAATACGATGGCTGAAATGTTGCTACAGTACGAAGACAGAAATTTTGTTTGCAAATTTTGTGCCCAATCAAGTCAGTGCCGTAATCTAAAACGCAAATTTCTTATCGCTTACTGGATTGGGCTTCATTAAGTAGCTATGTATTAGCGAAATGATCACGATATTTTGAAATAATTTAGCTATTCTAACATGTATCAAGATGGTTATTTTGAAAAAACTAATCTATTAGGCTAGAGCCGATTTTTCTGGCTTTTTCGGACAATCTAGTGATCATTTTTTTGATCTAACACCTATATCTCTCTGTTACCGATAACACTTCCCATAATGAATACGAAGAATACGGATTCTCTCTAATAGTAGTGCACCCTGAGCGTCGCCTAAATTCCTCGAAATCTCGAGAACCGCTTATCAGAACCTATCGATGTGGGGTCGGAAAATGTAGCTGACGATGAGATCTAGTGGGGGATTTGAGTGTTGAGCTTCTGCAAAAGCTTGGAAACCGTAAAATAGTCATCAACTCGGCTCGCCAGGGTGCACTACTATTAGAGAAAATACGGTATTTAAAAATAAAGGTTTGAAGATAAAATTCTTTTCAAAATTGGACCCAGAGCTTGGACTGGCCATCTTTTCCTGGTCATCATCTTGGCCAAGTCCAACTACGATAATCAGAGGACCATTGAATTGCAAAAGAACTGGCGAAAGTCAGGAAAAACACGAAAAAACACTAACAGGATTTCAGCTGAAAAGCTGTAAATCTCTTCGTCTCAATCTAAATAAGCTGCTCAAAAAATTTTGCTGATAACAAACATTTCAAATTTATTCGACTAAAGACAGAGAAAAACATTCAACTGATCAGATTGAAGTGTAAAATAATGAGAATTTATAAAATATTTTTGATGATTGAAAAAATCATCAATCCAACCACGAATCCCAGTGTTTTTTGTTGATTTCCGTTGCAAAGTTCTCCCCTGCAGCAAATATTCTCTTCTTTGTAATAAATTCCTCCTGGACCATAGCCTTCATTAGATGTTCGGCCTGCATCCTGAAATTGAATATTAATTTTAAGTATTGTAAAGTCAATCATAGAAGTCTCAGTTCTAGACTGACATCAGCCTCTACAAACTACAAACTACAAACTAGCTTTGGTACTTGTCAGCTATACATCCACAAAGACTCATCTCGGTTAAGCATCCCCATGCGAGTCTTCTCGGCTATCGATTTTCGTTCGACTGATCGACTGATCACTTCAGACGAGCACTCTACTTCACTGAACATAATCACCTCTCACAAGTTGTCAGCTTCTTGCTTAACCGAGTTGAGTCTGTGGATTCTATGTGGATGTATAGCCGACAAGTATCCTAGTTTTAAATATTATTTAGATTGCAACTCATGTTGGTATTTGTTTTTTATATCGAAATTCGACTTTATATAATTTTTAACTAAACAAGTTGTTGAAATTTTGCAGAGAAGTATGAAAACTAAGCCCAATTCATCAAAAGAACCTAAAGAAAACGTTAAAGTAAGAATCTGGTTGATCAAAAAAACAATTTCCTACAAATTATGCAATGTTGAGAGCTTAAGTTTGAAATTGCTTTCAGTTTTAGGCTTTCCAAAAGGTTTGCATCTTGTGTTCAACCATAAAAGTTGTTGAAAATTAAACTTTGCGAATTAAATAACAAAGAGTAAATGGTTTTACTAAAATTCTATTCTAATTCTAATCTTCTAATTCAAAAAATCTTCTGAAACTAACTGTACAAACGATATTTTTCGGATCCGAGCATCCACAATCCCAAAATGTTTGATTTGCTGAGCCTCTGAAAGTGAATAAAGGTTTAAATTTTTATTTTAAATGCAGAGTCTCACTGAGGATCCGTGGTGAAAGCCATGGTTGTCAGACAGTATTTGCAGCTCGATCCACAATCGATCTTTTTTTGCTAAAAATGATATTGTGATGAAGATCTAAGCTGAATATCTTTAATCTTTAAAATGACTTGAATCAGGAAAAGTGGCCAGCCCAGGAAATGTCCTTGGATCAATCCTTTCAAACTTCAAACTCAAAGTGGTCAATCTATTAGGTTGGTGAATTGAAAACTGTCGGACTTTGAACTAAAATTTATTCAACATAAAACCATCAATTCATTCCAAATAATTTCCATTATTGTTGACGACTTCTGCCCATTTTACAGGCAATTTGCGGATTCCTCTTTCGTAGTAGGATTGTGGTTTTGAATCGAAAAACTTTCAAAGCCAATTTTTGACTGCTTCTTCAGAATCGAAGTGTTCTCCCGCAAGCTCATTACTATGATCCGGAATAAATAGTAATAAAAAGGGGCAAGGTCCGGACTGTATGGGAATGCGCCAAAAGTTCCCAAACAAGGCTATTTATTTTAGAGCTAGTCAATTTTGCAACATGAGGGCGCGCGTTATCGTGGAGGAGAACGATCTTTGACTTGGAGGGCCCATTCTTCTTCAGGAGCTTTGAGGCTTTAGCTGCAAAATATTGGGTTGGTGAATTGAAAACTGCGGGACTTTGAACTAAAATTTATTCAACATAAAACCATGAATTCATTCCAAATAATTTCCATTATTATTGGCGACTTCTGCCCATTTTACAGGCAATTTGCGGATTCCTCTTTCGTAGTAGGATTTTGGTTTGTGTGTGAGACAAGTGTGAGACTCAAAAATGGAGGACCGGAGATGTCCCAGTTCGAGCACTTTCTTCAAAAGAAACCCATTTTGGTGTCAATAGAAAAGTTGTAGAGAATCAAAAATTAGGCTTATAGCCAAATTTCCAAAAAGATACACTCAGTAGTTTCGCTTAAAATGCAAGTTTTGTGAAAATTCGTAAATTTCGCATTTCTTGAAAACCAGTTTTTGAATCGTTCTGAAAATTTGGATATAAGCTTGATTTTCGATTCTCTACAACTTTTCCATTGACACCAAAATGGGTTTCTTTTGAAGAAAGTGCTCAAACGGTCACATATGACAATAGCCCGCAGCTTTCAATTCACCAACCCAATATAACTAGTTTTGTAGAGTTGGATGAACCGAATCCATATCAGAAATTTATCAAAAGGTCTGTTGGTGTTGATGTAAGAAGTTTAGGACAATCAACTCATGTCTTAAAAGTAGTTGGCAAGAGAAAAATTTGATCTCATCAAGCCCTACAAAACTAGCCATAGATAGATCTTTTTGATCACTTTGTTAGAGTTGTTTGAATTGGATGAATGGATCAATTCAATTTCAAACCTAGATTGGCACTTTAAATAAAAAATTTCAATCCAATTTAAGCTTTCCCACTCAAAAATTTACCTGTCCTGTATGAGAAAGACCTCCAACATTTACATCAGAGTAACATTGAACAGCCAATGAACTGGTTACTGTCAGAAAGAACAAAAATATGAATCGATTCATTAGAAAAGAAATGCTAGCTCGTTTTTTTCAAAGATTGGAAGCTTTTTCTTCTCAAAGTTAATGAGCTGATTCTAAAAATTTTCACTGATAACAGCAACTAGTCGCTTTTATATGACCACTATAAACGACTCTATATGGCTTCTCTTCATCACAAAGCAAGCTAATAAAAATAATTTTTTGTTGGAAAGTACGCAATGGATAGTTCACCAGATATTAGAAATCATAAAACCATGCAGAAATTCTGCAGATATAACTTTTTCAAGAAGCTGACATTAAAAACAGCTTGTAATAGACCTGTGATAGGCTTGATAGGTTAAAAACAGTTTGTGATAGGAAAATTCTAAGCTGAACCTAATTCCACCTTCGTTTTTTTGGCTGTTTCTTGATCGATGATTCTGAAATTTTGTCTACAGTTAGACATTATCAGTTTATATGTCGTAGCCGCTTACGAAATTCAGCCGCTAACGAATGAGGGTATTTCCGGGCATCCAATCAAAAAGTCACCCACATAAAAAATGTTCATAATACATATATTTTATAATAAATTTTTGAAATTAGCTCATTTGGTTCAGTAGAAAATTTTTTTTGAGCCCCCAAAGTCCAAAAATGCCCTAAAATTTTCTACTCAGCCAAAAAACTTGCCTAATAGCTCATTTTGTAGCCAATTTGATGTAGTTTCTTAAAGTAAAGCTACATTGAACATTTGTTTTTCAAAGCTAGGAGAAAGAGGGCGAGGAACGACTTCAGTTGAACTCGGTCGCTGTTTTCACATTTGAGGATTGCCCTGAATTTGTTCCTCGCCCTCTTTCTCCTATTTTCAACGAAAAATTGTTTTAGATGGCTTTACTTTAAGAAACTACATAAAATTGGCTACAAAATGAGCTATTAGGCAAGTTTTTTGGCTGAGTAGAAAATTTTTTATAGCCATTTTAGGGCATTTTTGAACCTAAACTTTGGGGGCTCAAAAAAAATTTTCTACTGAACCAAATGAGCTAATTTCAAAAATTTATTATAAAATATATGTATTATGAACATTTTTTATCTGGGTGACTTTTTGATTGGATGCTCGGAAATACCCTCATTCGTTAGCGGCTGAATTTCGTAAGCGGCTACGACATATAGACTGAATTTCAGAACCATCAGCGAATGACGGCTAAAAAACGAATGCGAAATTAGGTTCGGCTTGGAATAATCTTCTAAATATTTTTGCATTATGGCTGAATGAAACTTTTTCAAATCCATTTCATGATTTGGCAAAAAAAGCCATCATAGCATTCTAAATTTGATTCCCAGAACTTGTCAAAACACAGATTTTTCCTTTCATATCCTCGTTTTCATGGAAAGTCATGGAAAATTGAATGTTGAATCTGAAAAAAAGGAAATAAAATGAAATAAACTTCCCGAATTCCCTCTATAAAAGCTTTAAAATCGGATAGTTGGGGCAAATTCAGAAAAACTTTTCAAAAATGATTGATATCAGCGAATTGTTTGTCATTTTTCCGATCGTTTACCCAGTTGGCTCAAAGGTAAGCTTGTTCTTTATTTAGATATCATTTGATAAAATTAAAAAAACCTCTGAAAACAGAAGATCACAATTTTTCAGGATCAATCCCTCGATTTTCCACAAAAACCGAGCACCAGATGTTGCAAAAATCAAGGTAAAAGATCAGCTATTAGCTACTCAAATCTGTTAGTCTTTTTCACAAATCTTTATAAAACAATCTTATTTAGAAGTCCAGACCACAGCTTATACTTTGATGAACAAACAGAACTCAACAATCCGAACAGAAATTGCCGAGACACTGGCCCAAAGTTTGTCACATTAACATAAAACTTATGCAAAAAGATTCTCGATCTCATTCTTGTTCAGCTGTCAACCAGTCTCTTGTTATAATTCGAGCAATGAATGACTGATCTTTTCAATCGTGCGAGAACCTTCATGGAAAAATGAATATTGCAATAAATGATTTTATAAAATAGATTCAAATCTGTCTGACAGCGGAGTTTTCAAACACTTTGTGAAGACATTTAGAGTAAACTGATCTCACCATCTCACGCAGAGTCATCAAGAAAACCAATGCGGACTTTGACGAAGCACTATCCCTTGAAGAAACTGAATCCAGGAAGGGGAAAGGTGTGAACGCTGTTTTTTTTGATGATGATGGATATGATGATGATAGATCAATTATGATGGATCAATAAAATCCATACTTAAAAAATCTAAAGTTCTTGTAAAAAAATGAACTTTAAATGAACAGCAAAACAAAATTGAAATTTGTTGTTGTGGTGGTAAGGAATTTTTCATTTATGAAGGTCATGTAATCAAGAAAATCTTCAAAAAAACTTCAAAACCTTTGACGCCAAAAAACAGCTTTCACACCAATAAGGTTGGTTTAGGAATAAATGAAAATTTTAAGAATTCAAGAATTAAGCACTTAATCGATCCATCAGTGATCTAAAGAATGGCTTTAGAATTTGATTTTGAAGCCAATTAAAGTCTAAAAATCAATATGCTTACAAAAATGTGTATCTTTTAACTTTTAACAATCTAATAATCTTTATAAAAAGTCCAAAAAGTGCAAATTGAAGCTGCCAACTGAAGGAATGATTATTTTTTAATAATTTTTGGGAAAAAGTTGGACAATATAAAAAGTTCTGTTAGTAAAAAAGGCTCAAAGAGGCTTCTAGAAGCTTTCAACTTAAAAACAAACAGAAAATCCTGGTTCAGAACACTCAACAAGTCTATTATAATGTAGTACTGGCTACTAAGTGACTGAAACCTCTAGGTTGCCAAAAAGTGGCGGTAATCTGAAGATTTGGATTCCATAGAGCAATGTGAAAGTTCTTTAGTTTATTCGTTCCTAGGTATAAACGAAGATGGACTAGAATTTGGGTTAAGTTAAAGAGAGTGGATCCCTTTTGATATCCCGCCATCTCTAACACCCCGACAACCCAACTCAACTCCTCCAACGTATTAGAGGGGAGTCCCTGTGAAATGACCGACCTGTACTGCAGTTGCATAGACCCGGAAGATATGTATCTTTATTTACAGTAGTACAATAAGACGAATAGATTACAAATGAGTGTAAGGGGAAGGGGGGACTCCAAATCAGAGTCTCACTTGTCCTCCTAGGCAATCCCAGGGACCGCCCCTTCTCGGCAATAAAAGGGACAAGCACAGGGGAGAACACATTTGCATAAGAATAGACAAATCATTCAATAATAACAATAGTAACTAAAATATCAGTTTGGCTCGGAGCTGACAAGTTGAATAAAATGCTACTCAAATAAATAATTTTCTAGGGAAAGCTTCATTTCGCCAAATTTCAAATTTAAAGTGATACAAATGTTTGCTATATTGCGAATTTCCAAAAAAACAAGCTCATTTTCACATTTCTTAAATTCAAATTTATTTAACCAAAACAAAAGAAATCAATTTATGGAACGCATACCCAACAATTCCCTTTAAACCAGAAAAAACTCCATTCCGGAAAACAGCTTTCGTCAGCTTTCAAGCATTTCCATTTAGTCATCAATCCACAAGTATTATCTCTCTTTACCCAAATGCATCCCTGAATTGCTTAGACATTAAGATCAAATGATAGGTTAAAATTTGGTCAACTTAATCAATTTAAAAGTTTCGTGGGCTAGACAAGTTACTGGGAGCAAAAGTTTATCGGTTTTAGAGCTAGTTCCACCTGATTAATAGTGCAGAATATAAAAATGGATTAGAGTAGATTAATGTCTGAATATCTTGTAATATGATAAAGAATTTGCTTTACTACTAATCATTTTCTATCTTACACTATTAATCAAAATTATCTAGTGAATGGCTTCAGTTAAAGATAAAGGATTTGTTGGTTTTGATGCTCAACAAAAGATTTTTGGTTATAGAAGGGCAAAAATTGTTTTAAAGATTCGTTCCACGGCAATTCTGTGTACTGGATTTCTTTTGATAGTGAGAACGGAGAAATTGTTCTAGTATCAAGAATAATTTTATGAATCTATCAGCCTAATGAACTATTGAATGTAAACTCAAATCACTTGAATCCAATAATCTCATTCAACATTTATGTTACTTATTTTGTTTGACATCAAATTTGCTCACTTCATTCAATCCAATCAAGATGCTCCCGATGAAGAGAACGATAAAAAAGAGACGAGATAAAAGGAAATTCATTTTTATAAAATGAAATGTATTTTTGAATTCTTTGTCTGAATTTTGATGAAATCAGTTGATTATTTTTGTGTTTGAAAGCCAACTTTTCAGTCAAAATATGACAAAATATTATTCAGTCAACATTCAGACTTGTTATTTTTAAATAAATGTTGATAAATGTTGTTGTTTCGTAAGTGTTTCCAAACTTTTGACCACCCCAAAAAGAGGGTTATTTCAAGAAATACTGGGTATGCAATAACTATAGACCTGGGATGTCAGCTTTATCTGTGACCATTTGGTGCCACCTTTATGTTCTTATTTTATATCTTTTGCTTTTTTTCATGTTTATCCTTGTTATTTCATATAATTTCTGAGATTATATAGTGTTTTTTAGAGATGGCCAAGCTGAATATTCATCGGAACTCGATCATAGCGTTGCATCGACGGGGCTTTTGACAATTTCTTAAAATTTGGGAGTTTCTACGTAGCTCCTGAACAAGATGAACGCTTCAAGGAATTTGGAACAAATGCTGATAGAGATGGCCGAGGAAACGGCGTTCTGTAGTGATTCAATCCAATATCAAAAAAGTGCGAGCGAGGTTGCGTCGTAACCCGGAACGATCATCTCACGCCAAATGGGAATTTCTGAGCCTAGAAGCTAAAGCGTGTGCTAAACCACATCGAACAATTGACTCGTTAAAGAAAGCGCTCCTTAAAGCATGGGACGAGCTCGATGTTGCCTACTTGCGTGTCACAGTTGACGCCTTCCAACCACGTCTTGAAGCGTACATCGTCGCTCATGAAGGAATTTTTGAAATTTTAGTTATTAGGTTGTCATATATGAAATATCCGACACTTTTTCATGTCCGTAAATCTTCATTTCACCATAGATTTCTTTCATTTTTTGATATTTTATAGTGGGAGTATGAAATAAAGTAATTTAATTAGGTTGAGGAAAAAGTTCTGACTCAGCTGCGAAAAATTCGATTTTTATGCATTTTTGCTGGTTTGTCGCGCTTATAGTGTTGTACGAATCTTGATCTTTATATTCCAGATGTGTTTAAAAGAAAAAGAGCTTCGAGTTTTGATCCGCTATTGCTGAAAATTTGAATTTTGAAGTTGATTTGAAGAAGTTGAAGAAGCTTTCCAAGAGTTGTTTGTTTCGAAACCGAAGGAGTGGTACTTTGACCAGATGCGAAAGCTTGCAGATCGATTGCAGAAAGTCTTAGATAATAATGGGCTATACTTTGAGGAATAATTATTGTTATTTTTGTTATTAAAGTGCATAAAAATTGAATTTTTCGCAGCTTAGTCAGGACTTTTTCCGACCAAAAACCATCTAAAAATTTTAATATTAATTTAACCAATCAACAATATAATCTCCATCATTTTCCTTATGACTTATGAAGTTTTCAAGCTTAAAAAGCAAAGCAACAACAAAGAAAAAGAACAAAAAACAAATTGGTTATTTTAACCAAGACTTTTCGATACCAGGACTACTAACCAGCTGAAAACGTCTAAAAAAAATTTAATCCCAAATAAGCTTTTTTTGCATTCTTTTCTCAAAAAAGATATGATTTCGTAAAAAAAATGACGTAACCCTGAACGAAACCTAAAAGGTTTTCCTCTTATTTGTCCGGAAATTCAAAATTCGCAAAGCTGACAACTGATATGGAGATTATCGACACTTTGGAAGAGTTTTCGAGCACACGAAGCTAATCAATTTTTAAAGAAGATTTGATGGTTTATGTCAAATGACCTATAAATATTTGTCTATTTGTTTATTGTTAATTTTCTTCTTCTGCGAAAAGTTTTGTGGCGCAGAGAAAACGATTTTCGAATTGAATCCAAAAAATCCATCGTTCGCAATTCACGGGGCCACATTGGCACGTTCAAAAGTGAGCATTTTAAGTGGAATTTGAAGTGTTTAAGATTAATAAAACTTAAAGTTGTAAAAGTAATAATTATAAACTTTTTATTTATCCTTATAGCTTTTTGTTAAACAAATTTTTTAATGCTCAAAGAAAGAAAGCAAATTTTTTCTAGAAAATCACAATAATCGGCTGTGATGAATGCGATTTTCTCATGGATTTTACTCAAAGAGATTGCCAGAATGAGCCGGATGATGTTCAAATAAGTGTTGGGTTTGAAAATGTGAATGAATTTATAGAAGATTCACAGACACTCAAAGAATCGTTGAAAAATTTCAGTACAAATCAAAAATCGCTCGAAATTTCACCGATTATTGCCTCGATTCGTGGCCATTTCTCATCGATGGCATTGAGCCGACGATGCTTTGTGGTAATCCGATGTATGCTAATTTTTCTGATAAAGATTTCAAATTTCGTATTTGATCACAGGCCCTATACATCCGATTTGATTAAACAACTTTACCCGTGTTCAATGAGACTCGAACAAAAGCGAGCAGTGATTGTTGAGGCAAAAGAAGGTCACACCGAATTCGTCGATGTACAGTATGCGCTATCGTTTCGTGTTTCGAAATGGATAAACGGTGAGGTTTAAAGGGGGACGCCGGCTTAAAAGTTGACTTTCAAAGCTTAAAAGTTGCCTTTCCGCGGTCATTTATTAGGTTGATGCAAAAGTCTTTTTCATTTTTTTTCGTCTGCCGTTTCAAGCCAACAAATGCACCAATTAAACTACGGTTGATTTCATTAGAAAAACCAATTATTTTTCTGCAAAATAACATTAAAACGGGTTTAAAAATATTTAATGCCTGGATTTTCTTGAGAGTATGAAGTCGGGTAGTCAAAAAGGGCTAACTCGATGATGCGGTTTAGACACCTTAGCTAAAGAAAACCTATCTTCGTGTCAATAGATAAAAGATAGAGAAAAAAAAGTTTGATATTTCGCCAAAATTTCAGAGAAATTCATTCAGCCAATTTTTCCGTAGAGTTTTTTATAGATTTTTACGAAAAAGGCGTTTTTCACTCTCGAATTTGCTTGAAAGTGAACCGAAATTCATTTAAAAAGATGCAAATTGAACAAAAAAAACACTTTTTTTATAGAGCAAACTATAGATTAATTGGTGAATTTGTTACTTTTAACAGAAGTACGAAAAAAACGAAAAGACTTATGCATCAACCCAGCAAACCAATACTCTTTACCACTTACAATCACAGCGCTAAACCTAGAGAGAAACCACTGTGCATCGGGAAACTGGGTGGGATCGTCGAGCTCCCACGGAAAGTTGAGCGATGTGGTCACTGTTGAATTGTCCAATTGATCCGCGTATACAATATCCAACAATTCTTTGCCTAAAAGGCTTTGATTTTTTTACTCATTTTTATGGCAATCACCTGGCATTCCAGATTGAAAAAGACTTTTGCATCAACCTAATATATATTATTCGATGCGTTTTAGTCTCCTCTACAACTATTTCCTATATGAAAAACAAGGTTTCCAACTGAGAAATGAAGAAAAACGCGATTTTTGCTTTCCCCTCCATCGTAAATCGTGGAGATTTGAGCAAAAAGTATATAAAGGTTCTGTTCAATTGCATTTTAGCACTTACGTTCTTTTCTTTTGCATGTATTTTCTGAAATTTAACAGCAATCCTAAATATTTTTTTGTTTTTAATAGAAAACATTACATTCTAAAAGAATGATTTTAAAAAGTTAAAAATCAAACTTAAGACGTGAAAAACTGCCCAATTTAACATTAACTTTCCTTGGGCGGGAGTAGCCATTCAAGATCAGTTGAAGACTCAATATGTTCGAGTTTTCAGAGTCACAAAAAGCTTTTGTCGTACCAGCAAGCTTTTCGACGTATATTCCGGAGATGGTGCTGATCCCAAAAGACTATGTGGGCATCGTTGTGACGAATGGAGACCTATCTCGGTAGATCAAATAATATTTTTACTTTAATGAAGTGTTGCATAAAGTTGATTAGCTAGATAAAATTTTCAACTGCAGCCTCGACGGCCCCTTTGTCATGATGTACCCATCGGCTGGCTCGCGCTTAGTGGCCCAGTGCAACAATTTGAAGGTTAGTTTTCAAAAAAAAACAAAATTTCAAAATGTTTTATTTGATTGAGAGATGGTAATTATAGGAAGACATCACATGCATAGACTCAGCTCGTTACTCAATGTTTTTTGGATCAGCTCCGGGGCTGGCCCAAAATGTGGACAACCATTTGATGGACATTGGGTAAAAAACACAATTTATTTATTTGAAATCAAATTAGCGCTAAGGAACAACATGAAATTTTAATTTTAGCGTTAACAGAAACGCGTTTTCCCGTGCCCTCAGTAACCTCGATTCTTTCGAGTCAATCCTGCTCTTATTGCCTTGTTTTTCAATCTGGAATGCCAGGTGATTGCCATAAAAATGAGTAAAAAAATGAAAGCCTTTTAGGCAAAGAATTGTTGAATATTGGATACGCGGACCAATTGGACAATTCAACAGTGACCACATCGCTCAACTTTCCGTGGGAGCTCGACGATCCCACCCAGTTTCCCGATGCACAGTGGTTTCTCTCTAGGTTTAGCGCTGTGATTGTAAGTACACAAATACGCAAATACACAGAATAGAAAATACCGTTTTTTCTCGAATAGCGTTTTGGAGCAGTATTTTGCACTATCCTTCAAAAGGTGGAGCACTGTTTTTCACTAGGCTCAGGTCTCGGCGCTCTAGGCTTAGAACCATGGTTTTGAGTTGAATAATACTTTTCTAATCTTCGAACCAAATTTGCCGAGGGCTTAAGGGCCGGCAAACCCGAGAAAAGACGTGAATTGGATGCTTCTTAATTCAGGAATCAAGCATGAGAATGCTAATCATTCGGGTGGACAAGCTGCATGGTGGAACACTTCAACTTCTGGGAAGTCGAGGTGCTGAAAAGACTTGCAATGTTGGAGACTACACACAAAATGTTAGGTGAGTGACCAGGATTGCTAGGTCACTTTAAAATGTAGATAGTTCAATTAAAAAAAGGTAAAAGTTTTTAGCTTTACCGAACCAACAAATGAAGAGATTCGCTGGAAGCTCGATTGTTTGTGGGTTGGTTATCATTTGATACAGATTCGTAACTTTAAAGTTCTCTAAACTTTTTAACTGACTGAAAAAAAAGTAAAACTTAAAAGCCCATATAGATAGTAGAACTTTGGCTCTTGCCCTTTTGCCTACTGTTCCAAACTTGTTCGCAATTTTTTATCGCCTTAGTTAATGGATTTGTACTTTAGTTGCTTTTAAAAAAGTCAATTAACACAAATAATTGGTCTTAAAAGATGATAAGATAGATATGATTATTCAGAATCTTCCATAAACGTTAGCCAAACTAGCATGCACATAAAATTGTTCTTTTCATGTTAAAAAATAAAAAATGGGTACTTGTGAATCCGTTGCACGCAAATTGTTTTGAAAATTTGCATATACAAGGTTGAGGAAAAAGTCCTGGCTCCTGATTGACTCCTGATTGACTCCAAATAAGCTTGAAAACTTTATAAGTCGTAATGAAAATGATGGAGATTATATTGTTGCTTGATTAAATTAAGGCTAGATAGTTTTTGGTCGGAAAAAGTCCTGACTCAGCTGTGAAAAATTCAAATTTTATGCGCACTTTAATAACAAAAATAACAATACTTATTCCTCAAAGTCTAGCCCATTATTACCTACGACTTTCTGCAATCGATCTGCAAGCTTTCGCATCTGATCGAAGTACCATTCCTTCGGTTTCGAAACAAAGAACTCTTGGCAAGCTTCTTCAACTTCTTCAAATGAACTTTAAACTTCAAATTTTCAGCAATAGCGGATCAAAACTCGAAGCTCTTTTTCTTGTAAACTCATCTGGAATACAAAGATCAAGGGTACAACAGTTGGTACAACACTATAAGCGGCAAAAACCAGCAAAAATGGATAAAAATCGAGTTTTTCGCAGCTGAGTCAGAACTTTTTCCTCAACCTAATAAACTGTTTGAAATGAATTTTCTAAAAACGTTCGGAAACACCTCTAACACTTAGTAGCTTCCGGTCCCCCAGTTGCAAGAGTGTGGTCTGGGAATGACGCATCACGTGGTTTTTCTTCCTCAACCTAATAAAATTAGTTTGTTTCATACTCCTACTATCACGGGCTGGCATGGGCGTCGCCTAAGGCGCAATTTAAAAGCCTTTTAGCCTTTAAAAGCCATTTGAAACCTTTTAGCAGATTTCAAATGCATATTTGCACATATTATATGTAATGCGAATTTAATGTAATGCAAATTTTCAAAACAAATGCTAATTAGGTAATCCGCGTGCAACAGATTCACAAATACCAAAAAAATGTTTAATTTTTAGATAATTTGGCGCCCCAAACAACCGATGAACGATTCCTTTGGTTTTGTGCTGAGAACAAAACGAGATCCGGATATTTTTCCCGATGATGTTGTTTGCGCAAAATCGTTTTATTTGACCAAGGATCAACCACATTTCATTTTGCATGCAATCAACGTTCAGTATGCAAGAACGGACAGCAGTTAGTAAATTCATCGAAATTTTCAAATAAATTTACTTACAATGGCAATTTGAAATAGGCATGGCATTTACCTAGCTAACAAGGGAAGGTCAACTGGTTGAGCCGGTCAAATACTATCCGACTTCCACTATTCGACGCGGAATTTGATACTGATTCCGAATATGTATTTCGTTTTTGCTAAATGACAATCTGCCAGGAGTTATACGCAAAAAGCAAAAGGAAATTTTAAAATGAGGATCAAACCTGTGAGGTCTCGCTCTGGAAACGAACGCTGTACCACTCGGCCATTGCACCAAATTGGGTTGCACCAAATTGGGTCCGCAAGGAGGACGCTAAGACCCAAATGGTCGCATTAGAGTCCTAACAAAACTTTAGAAGTTATAACTTCTGGCAGATTGCCATTTAGCAAAAACGGGATACATAGTCAGAATCAGTATAAATTCTGCGTCGAATGGTATAGGTCACATGGGATTAACCAGTATTGACCTTTGACAGCTTTAACCAGCTCAGCCAGTTCACCTTCCTTTGTAAGTAAACAATTTGCCAATTTACAAACTTTTGAAAATATAACTTCAGGCGACAATGAGAACGGCACATCGCTCTGTGTACGGCATCAATGGTGCAAAATGGACGAGGATTGTCGTTTTCTGGTCGATTTGCCGATAACCTGTTCTCATGATGAGGTATAGAGTAGATTTGGGCGGTGTTGAGACGGTTTAACGAAACCTAAGTATCCAAAAAATAGGTATGATGCCTTAAATTTGCCATCATCCATAAATGAATGTTTTTGGAGAGCTGATCAAAACAGCGCCGTGTACAAGCAGCGCCACAGCAAAAATATTCTCTCTACGGTTAAGTTTCTATGTGTTTCTTATTCTTATTGGATGCAGAATGAAATTATCTACATTTTGCACACTTTGGGATCACTTGAAACCGAATTGGTGTCGAGAAAAGCTGAGTTAATCTCTTCTTGAGCTATTCCTCGTTTTTGGCATTTCCTCATCGTAGATTTGTTCTAAGCGGCTCCAAAAATTCGGCAAATAGCTAATTTGTTTCTAAATCGAATGAAAATAAGAAACACAAATAAACTTAACCGCAAGTGCATTATTGTGCTTATACACGACGATGTTTTGATCGGCTTCCTATTTTTGTCAATCTCTAAATTTGTCATCTAGCTAACTTGCAAAATTTAGGCTAAAAAACTCTCGAAAACGTCGCCAATCCAGATAAACGGTCAGTATCCAGATTTGGAGAACTGTACAGTCCGGTTGGTGGGCTTTGGTGTGGAGAAATGAACAAAATACTTAAAGAATAGAAAAATCAAATTTTAGTTACTCGTCTCGAAGTGACGACAAGGTGTTCATCACATGTCAGACGATCATCCAAGCAAGTTTTGTCGCGTTTCGTGTGAGAAACATTCAGAATATCCGTGGGAGTGCCGTGTCGGTGAGAGCAATCAAATGGATTGACGGTAGGTGGTTGCCCGAACCTTTACGGTTATTTTTGGAGCCAAGTTTTTGACCAACTTGCATCCCGATTTTATATAAGTTTATGTTAATAACCTTTTGATAAAACAAATAGTTTCTGAAAGCTGACCTTCTGAGCTATCTAAATCTTATTAAAACTTCCTGATCTGACAAGTTTAAGATGCTAAATAATGAGCTGCAAGTTGGTCAAAGAATTGGCCCTTGGCGATAATCGCTGCCCCCCGCCGTTAACCGTAAAGATCCGATTGCCCATCAAATATTGCAAAAACAATACCAAAACAACATTCAATCACCCAAATAGACAAAAATTGATGACTTAATCATATGTTTAGATCCATTGGACTCGTTTGTGATCGCAAGCGATTTCGTGACCTCCAAAGGAAGTCCCAACACTACCCACTTGTCGATGAAAGTGAGTAAATGGGGATATTTTCATGTAGAAACCAGCCGAAAAACGCGCCTAAGGGCGGGTTTTCCTGGTTGTCGCCGTAGCGCAGTCTTCTCACGCTTCTCTACGGCCTACACAACCCGGATTCGACGCGCGTAGTGCCACTCAATTTTGCCTTTAAAAAATCTGATCTCAACGGGGAACTCCCCTATCCCGAAAACCTATAAGGGTGTTATTTTTGGAGCTCTAGCTTCTCCCGTTCTTGAGATGAAAGTTGCGTACAGATGGACAGACACTGCTCTTTTATATATAATAAATACTATACCTCCATTTTTTTGGAATCCGATTTGTATTTGAGTAATTGCCCAGGTTCCTCCATTCGATCGCCCTTTCTGGATTTCATTCGCTTTTCCCTGGAACAGTCATCAGAGTGTGAAGCGATTAGAGAAACTGAGATTGGTGAGTAAGTTTTTGCAGGCGTTAAGTCGTAAACCCAATGACTGATTTGTTTACGCCAAAATTCTTTCTAGGATCACAACAACTCGAGATGTGAGTACAGGCTCGTCTCTGGCCCGCCACTATACAATGAGTGCCACAAAGAGCGCGAACTGATGCTCTTTAGGTTTCGTTTATTAAATCGTTTAATTTTCGTCCTAAAAAAGAATGGCATAGTTTCAAAATTCATTTAGATGAATTCTCGGCTCTTGTAACTTAGAGAGGATCTTTGACCATTTTAGACTTATTTGTCGGTTTTTAAAACTTATGGCTCATGTGCTTGCTGGTCATTTTTAACGCAATTTATTGACAACAATAGGTAGCAGCGGAGAGTGCTCAAGGACTTTTAAGCTAAGCACAGCTATTCAGACAAATGATCTATGATCTATGATCTAGGGAGAGAGTTTTTGCCGATTTTTTGGGAGATGGTCTTAAACTGGTCCGATCTGAACATGTAATAGCTCATTCAAAAGCTAATTTTCTAGTGGATTGGATAAAAAAGCGTTAAATATATCAATTTTCAAAGTTTTTGCAGTGATCTCGACCCGTTCATCCCACAATTTGTCGAGACTTTACTTGTGAGTGTGTTGATTCCGAGTGGATGTGCGCCAAGCCTATCTTTGGTTCAAACTTTAGGTGTGTTTCAAATTGTTCACTTTTTGAGAAGTTGGTTTTCAAGAATCGCGGTCATTTATATATTATTCGATTCGATTTAATCTTCTCTACAACTATTTTCTATTTGAAAAATAAGGTTTCCAATTGAGAAATGAAGAAAAACGCGATTTGCTTGTGATTGTTCACCGAATTCTCGACCCAGTTCTCATTTTGTTTATAAAACTCCTTGTTTTTCAGATTTCTTGTCTTTTAATCGCTCTATTGATCTCTGTGCCGGTCAAATAATGATGGAATCACTCGGATATCAAAATCCCTTCGAGTTTCCCATTGAAAAGACTTTCAATTCAATTGAGTATCGGATCACGTGTAGTGAGCTTCAAAAAAAGTAAAATAAAGCCAAAATTCAAAATTTTCAGAATCTTATCGAGTGAATGTCGAGATCGAGGTGATTTCGATTGGAAATGGACAGCTGAAAATCGATTTTCTTGATTCAAATGATGATTATGAGAAAAATGATAACCGCATTGAATCTCTGGGTGAAAACGAGCGCTTCAACATCACAAAATCAAATTTTACAGGAATTGTGGTTAGCTTTGTTGAAGTTCAAGAACCAAAACCCATTTAGTTACTTTTCCGTTATTGGGGCCAATTCACATAACGGAAAAGTACCCTCTTCCGCCATTATGAGGGCCCAGATCTATATATGTGTCGTAGCCGATTATGAATGAAATTTTTTGGCAAATCTTTCTAGTAGAGCAACCCTTTAATGTATGAGAACAATATTATATCATCTTGTAGCGAATTCAATTCTGCGTCGATTGGTACCAAATTTGTGAGTTTAGGTTAAAAATTGCCGGCGCTACAACGTTTCATTCAAAATCGGCGGGACCCCCGTAGCCGATTATGAATGAGTGGGTCTAGGAGCGTCCAACCACCAAGTATTTAGTATCATTCAACGCAGAATCATTAATAATTATGTTAAATTTTTTAAATTAGAAAGATTGAATAAAAAGAAAAAAATTAGAGCAAAAAAACTGTTTGTTCAAGAGAAAACTTTGAAGCCCCATAATTTTTTTTCTTTTTATCCAATCTTTCTAGTTTAAAAAATTTAACATAATTATTAATGATTCTGCGTTGAATGATACTAAATACTTGATGGTTGGAAGCTCCTAGATCCACTCATTCATAATCGGCTACGACATATGCACATTTACAGAGTGGCTGATAAGTATCCGGAAAAAGTATCTATCGATAGATCGAGTATAGAAAGATAAACAAAGTAAATTTCTTTATTTATATAACAAAAAGTTTCCAAAATGACCATCATCGGCATCGATACAAGCTTGAATCCTTTTCGAGAGAGAAGCGACCGTGCGGTGTGGGTAGGCGAAAAAAAAGGCGTCTAAATCACCCCATTTCTTAAGCTTTCTTGAGACCATCCAAATTAGTTTTTGTATTTTTGTTTCCATGGAAGAACAGCTTTCTCAAGAATCACTTTTTAATATGTTTGAGCGTTAATTTTCACGTTTTTTTTTTCGATGAACACCAATGGTGTTTTACCGCTTCCACTGATCCCGCCGCACACCATCAAGCTCTTGGAAAACAGTGATTTCCGAGATCTTCATGATACCTAAATTAACAAGAAATCATCAAAAAATGAACAACACGACAAGTTAAACAAAAAAATAAAATCCAAAACATCAGAAGCAGAGAGTACAACGCGCTACAAAAATTTCCGGATACTTATCGGTCACCCTGTAAGTCCAACGGGCTGTTGAGATCGGGGATGTTTGCATTTTTATCGATAAAAACCAACTGGGTCTTGCCCGAAGCACTGATTCCACCGCAAACCATCAAATTTTTGGAAGCAGGCTTTTTGTAGCGACTTTTCGTTTGCGAGTGCTCTTGAGAGTTAGACTGAGAAGTTGACGATGATTTTGTGAATTTAAAGCCACTTCCAAGGTGAAAATCTTCTGATCCGACCAAAGAACATCATCAATGCGCCGCAGCTTGAAAAAAGCTCGCAATTTCGTGCATTTCTCCTTTCGGTTTTGCTTGGCTTGATCGGTGAGCACTTGAAGTCCGAGCTCATCTTGATTATCTCTCGCAACAAAAGTTTCCGGATACTTATTGGTCACCCTATACATAAATTCCTTGCTCCCTCATTTCCATTATGAGCACCCATTTTTCGTATTTTAAAAAACGTTATATGTAAATTCGCAAAAAATTTGCTAGGGGCTTAAACACTTTAAGGCGGGTAAACACTTGAAATAAGTGAAAAGAAAAGATCTAGTCTCCAACTTCTTGTCGCACTATAAACTCAGCCAAATAACTTAAAAGGAAGTGTTCTTTGTGGTCCTACTTTTAAAGTGTAAATGCATGTATGGTAATCTGTGTCCTCATAACGAAAAAGTACCCGCATTTATCAAAAAACTTGGAGTCATAAAGTTATTTCATGAGGCATAAATAAGACTGACCCCAAAATTGGAACTAGGGCAGATCAAAAACTGGTCCACCGTCGGGACTCGAACCCACGACCCTTCGCTTACCGGACAACTGTGCTAACCATTAAACCACAATGCACTTCATCTTCCTTACTCCAGAGGGAGTTAACTCCAGAGAATTGAGAGTAAATTTCAGATCAAGAGAGGCTCGGCAGGCTCAAGCCTAGAGTAGGCTCTTCTTGATTAAAACGAAATAGAAAACGAGTACGGTAATAAACAAATAGATTCCCTGTTGCTTTTCAAGATAAACAGCCATTTTCTACCGTATTTCGTTTTCTATTTCACACTACGAGCTGATAAGAGCGGCTCAACGTTGGTTTGGCATATTACCCAGCCCAACGTTGGTGTGTTTCTATTAAAATTTTTAAAAGCGTCGTTCACGATTTTTGAATCTCGCCAGAGATTCAAAAATCTCTGCCAAGAGTCGAACCCGAGCCCTTCACACTGGTGGCGGCTTTAGAGAAATGTTTTTAGCTCTGTTTTTAGCCCTCGAGGTGGACGAGCTAATAACTGCTCGCGGTGAGGCCTCGATTTTAATTTTTTTTTCTTTAACTTTTAAGGGCAGTATTTTAGAAAAAAAACGGCTAAGCCAAATAAAAAGTGCAAAAACAAAAAAGTCTTGTATTTTCGTGTAGTTTCTGGTGTTGAGGGTCATTTCCTCCAGGTCCACCAAAAGTGTGAGGGAGGTTTTATTTTTCTATATATCGATAGAAAATGAGTACGGTAATAAGCAAACAGGCTTCCTGTTACTTTTCAAGATAATCAGCCATTTTCTACCGTATTCCCTTTCCGATTTCACATTATTAATCGAGAGGATTGCACTCTAATTTTCATCTCATCTCAAGTGTACTTTTCCAAAAAAAAGCAACCGATTTTAGGCTCGATGGCAGCTCAACCCTAATTCCACAGTGCAATTGGATGGGTGTCTTTTGCTAATCTCATTCTCTCGGGCTCATCCCCCTTCACCCCATCCACCCACCTCACCAATTCCACGCAAGATTTTTCCAACGCACTTCATCGAAAATAATTTCGTTTCAAGATCAATCTATAGTTATATGTTTATGCTTTTCTTAATATTTATTGGAAAATACATTGCATAAATTTGGTGTACATAAAAATCGAGAGTCTCGATGGTAGATTATGGTTAGATTTAAGCTTAAAAAAAACTGTACCAAAATCTTTCGTATTTCCGTATCTTAACCTCAAACTTAATGCCTTTTTTTGTGTGATGGTAATGAGAAACAACTAAATGAAATACTAAATGAAACCTCAAAGAGGAGACCACGAATACAGTATTCCAATCAATCTTTGTCTATTTATGCAAATTTTATCATTCTTTTATTTATTTTTAATGATCTCTTGGGAGGGTGGGACAAATGCGACCTTTTTTTTGCTGGAAAAGGCCTTAGGCAAGGCCGTAGAGCTTCGAAAATATTTCCATATGAGGGAATCGTATGCGTAGATTCCGAATTTCGACAAATCAGACCTCGCTGACACGTCAAATTTGGGCTAAAAGGCAAAAACTACGCAACTTAACGCTTTTCGGCAGTTTTTGCCTTTTAGCCCAAATTTGACGTGTCAGCGAGGTCTGATTTGTCAAAATTCTGAATCTACGCATACGATTCCCATACGAAAACATTTTTGAAGCTCTACGGCCTTGCCTAAGGCCTTTTCCAGCAAAAAAAGGTGCGCAAATGTCCAGGTGCGCAAAAAAAAGGTCGCATTTGTCCCACCCCCATCTCTTGTATTCAAAATTTCAATCAAATCTTTATTTTTATTTCTCTTCAAATCTAAACTTTTGAACATTGCATTTGTTTTAATACAATATTACAATTCCATTCCATAAGTCTTTCATTAAATCAAGCTTCTAAAACTCACTAAATCCTGCAAATCCCAAAAAGTAAATCTTATATTCAATCAAATCAAATTTCAATCAAATATTTATTCAATTTCTGATTTCCATTTCTCAATCGTTCCATTATTTTCTTTATTCGTATCATTTATCCCGTTTTCGATCGATTTTTGAAATGATTCCTTGATCATTTTAAAGCCAGAATCGGTGAGATGACAGCCATTATCGAAATATAATAATTGAGAATCGACGTCATACGAATTCAAAATTTGTCGTTTACGATCTGAATGATTTAGAGAATTTATAAACAGTTTAGATTTGTTATAGCTTGTATATCTCTTTCTCCAACAACCACTAACCAATAAACGATCCAGCTATTTCAATCGGATAGCATTTTGGACAATTCTTGAAGACAATCTGCAGTCGTTTGTAAACTGGACCATTGTAAAATGCAGTGACCTAAATAGTCTAAGTAATATGAATATCTTTCAAAATTGTTACATTAAATGGTCGATTGTACTTTGACAAATCCTCTCCTTTCTGCAATGAATCCAAGAAATGATTCATTAAATTTTTCTCTTTTCCTTGACATTCAAATGGTTGATGGGTTTGGATGAAAATCTTTTTGGTGAATAAGCTGCAATTGATTGAGTTGTGATAACTGATTTCTAGAACTGTCTAGTCTAATTAAAATCTAACAATTTCAATAACCATGATCTACACTACTGGACAATGAAATATCATATTTGAGAAACGATCGTCACCTTCGCGCGTCTGTAACTCCCTTGTCTTTACCGTATTTCTAAATATTAATATTACCATTGTATAGCCCTTGAAAAGAGCTTTCAGAAAATGTATAACACTAATAGTTTAAACTCAAAGACAAGGGAGTTACAGACGCGCGAAAGCGACGATCTTTTTTCAAATATGATATTTCATTGTCCAGCACTGTATCAAAAAAAAAGTGGTCAAAAAAAAGTCTTGATACCTTTCATAAAAATTAGCAAATTGAGCATTCAAAAATATTGGATTTAGACTCATTTGTTTCATTAGATAAGACAAAGTTAGAAACTTATAATTCACATAAAATATACTCTTTACAAAAGCTATTTATTTACGAAAAATAAAAAAATGCAAAAAACAAAGCAAAAAAAAAGTCTTGATACCTTTTCAAAAGTTATTCATTTCTAACAAAATTCAGTATCGTGTTGAGCCTCTTTTAGCTTTTATAATCTTCTATAGTGAAGTAGGTTTGGCACTTGCGTACTTGCAATCAATTTTTCCGTGGTTCGTTGTGAA